TATCCTTTGTTTCTCTAACCATTCCGAAATCTCTTTATCAATTTCACGCTGCTCTGCGGGGGGGGGGGGGGGACGTCGCAGCGCGCAATGAATTGAAAGTTGATCTGTCAGCATTATCCTTATCTTCAGGGCAGATGTTTTTATTTTATTTGGCTTATAATTCCTTACTAAATGTAGTATTTCATCTCAATGTACTCCGTCTTTGATATGATTTAAATCAAATTCCTCGTCATTATAATTCGCTTCCGATAGTGAAGAAAGTGACACAGAGGTTATTGTAAATGAAAAAATTTCAATTGACAAATTAGTCGGTATTCTCGACACAGCAATTATAGGACTTGAACAGCGGAACTTTGTAACTGAACAAGAAATTATGTCTGTTTATAGAATTAAAGAGAAAGTATTATCACATAAAACGAAGCAACTTAAACAACTTACATTGAAAGAAATGTTTAATAAAGTAAACAAATAAATATTAAGCTTCTTTTGTTTTGTAAATTTTGATACCCTTTAGATCATAATTGCTCTTTATTTCATAAATTACGGTTTCATATTTTTAATTTTATAATTTCAGCATGCCATCTACCAGATTTAAACTGATGATCTATAATCAGGAAAAATCGATAATCCAGAATCGCCAAAGTCTCGACGAGTCTGGATTAAGGACTTTTGACTGTAAATAGTTCCATTTTTCACCTGCCAGATAATTTTCATACAGCTATCTGCATGTAATCTTACGCTGAAAAACATATTTCTGCATTAGTTGATGAATATCAAGATTTTGTGATAGCTCTTCGGGGGGGGGGCTCCATTTTCCTTTAAAACATGAGATGCAACTTTACATTTAATAAGAGCTGTAATTACCTTTGTGGGGTATGCATTTTTTGCATCTTTCCTAGTCAGATGAAAACTTTGACGTTTCTTTCCTTTCATATTAATTATGTCACTTATTTTAAGTGCAGAAATATTAAAAACATGGTTTTTACATCTTTTTTAGTTATTGAATAAGGGTATTTCTCTTTGGACAGCAGAAAAATATAGCCTTCGTGCCGTTGTTTATTTTTCTGCGACATTTAAAGAAAAGAATATTTGTATTGCTGCAGACAGTAATTAAATTTATTCCAATTTGATGACCATATTTAGATTCATCGAGAAAATCAAAATCATTACAAAAATGTGTAAACACCCTCTGTGCAATTTTGTTTTTGAAAAACTGTGAAGATTCACAAATTAGAACAAGTTGTTAGGGCATTTGCTTGAATTTTGTAACTTCCCCACAAAGATACCCTACATGAAAAAAACTATCTTAAATACAATCTTTTTCCTTTCCCTGTCATCATTAGCATAATTCTTAATTCTAAATTCAAGAAGGTATACAATAATTGCATTAAGCTGGGAAAAAAATAAATGCATTGCATTTATTTTAAAAAATATCTAAGTTACTTTCTGTGCATTGAATATGTTTTCGTACTATCAATTTTGGTAATATTTCTATGTCATTGAATAATTTCATATTACATGCTTTGTTTAATATATAAACTATATTTAAGTATGCCAGTAAAACTTTCTTGTTTCTAAAATTCTATACTGAGATGAAATTCATGCTGATCTTCCCACACTTTTATTTCAATGAAGTGAAAAATTTGGTTCTTGTCAATAAAAAGCCATCTTTGGTACTATTATTAATTTTATTTAGACTTTAGAAACACAAACATATAACTCCTCCATCTTAAATTTCCCCCCTTCCCCCAAAAAAAACTGGTAGTGCAAATTTTTGTATCTGATCTTTAAAACATCTGATGTTGCCATATAGGCAAAGCATAACTCTATTTCCTTTATTTATAGTTCAGAATCTTTGCATAACTTTAGTCAGATCTTAAAACATTTTTTTATATTGAAGTTGCCATTCCGGAAAAACATAACTCTTTTTCCTTTATTTATAATTCAGGATCTTTACATAACTTTAGTCAGATCTTAGAACATCTTTTTATTCTGAAGTTGCCATTACAGAAAATCATAAGTCTGTTTCCTTTATTTATAATTCATGGTCTTTACATAACTTTTGTCAGATCTTAAAACATCTTTTTATTCTGAAGTTGCTATTCCGGAAAAGCATAACTATGTTTCTTTTATTTATAATTCATGATCTTTACAATGCTTATTCTGATTATTGCTGTTTCTCGAAAGCATAATTCTATTGTTCATCCAATGCTTTAATAATTTTTTTGTGATTCTCTTGAGCATTAATCACATGCTGCTGAGCAAAATTTAAAGATGAAATTTAGAAACTTATGTAAGAGCAGAGCAAACAGGCAAAACGCAGTGAAAGCCCAATCAGATCACCTAAGTTTTAGTGATATTTGCGTGTATATGTTCTCTGCATGACGTTCTGTGAGTGAGAGGAAAGACTCTGAAAAACATGAAAGTGGTATTTGCTTGGCATTTCACTAGAAGCTACTGCACAATGAACAATAGTTTAAATATCATCAAGCTACTGTCATAATGTGTCAAGTCTAGCAAATTATCTTATAGACAACATCTGGATAATTTTACTCAAATTTGAAGTATTAGAATGTTGGAAGAAGTGTTATTAATGTGCCTAAAGAGTTTAGGATTGTCCACAGCATTATGTCACAAGCTTGGATAGAATTTTAAACAGTAGAATTCCTAAGGGTTTAACCCTGCGGAAGTCGCACCAAGAAAAGTTACTAGAGTGGGCGCGTGGGGTATCACATACCCCAATATTTAAAATACGATAAAAATAGTTTTATTTAGTTTTGAAGCTGTTTTTCTTGTTCTCGTGTATTATAAATGCATGAATAATAATTGGGTTTCAAAAAATTAATTTCCAAAATAACAAAATACATTCATGTGTTCTTGACACAGAATGTTTTCACATTTTAAACATTGCATTCACATTCTTCTGTCCTTGGCGTGATTGCAATGAAAGTGAATGCCTTGCAAATTTATCACATCTTTCATACTTAGTTGTTTCGAATTTCATGTATTCGTTTTAATTCTTCGTTGAAACTTCTGCTTTTGTTTTGCATGTAGTACGTCAGTTTCTTGATAAAGTATTAATCTCTGATCTTTGTTCAATACTTTTTTTCATTAACTGTATTGCTAAGTCCTTCAAAAACAGACTTTTGTTTCTGGTTGGCGGATTAGCAGTTGAATGTAATATAATTCAAGCATTCATTACAGCAACATTCAGCGCAGGAAAGAAAATTACCATTGGCAACCTCCTTGTTATTCTGAAAATTGAATAATTGGCTGACATTTCATCCCACATATCCACTGCTCCTTTTTTCATATTATAAAAACATATAATACCTGACGTATTTTCTCCAATAGTATCATCTATAGTATGATCGTTATATAATGTTGAAAGCATAAGAACAGTTTTTTCTTTTTTAGGAACATCAGGAATTAATGTTTTATCTTTTTCGAAACCAAAACAGTGTAGAAAATATTCCTAGTTTCATCTTCAGTTTCCAAAATCCAATCTTCATCTCTTTCAAATATTTCTAATTAATTTCACAGGCGTTGTATCTTTAGTTCATAGGGAGTCATTCTTTTTACCATAATGTGGTTAGAAATTTTTAAGAATTTAATTTCGAGTACTTTAAAATCACTTGTGAGTAGAAATATTTACTGTTACACTCTAGAAATAAATTTCTGAACTAAATATTCCGTCAGAAAAACACTTACGCGGACAGGCGCGTGGGGTGTGTCATACCCCAGTTCCAACAAAATACCGATAAATATTTTTCTGAAACACACAGGCAAAGGAAAAGTGGTTCTGAAAGTCAACCACAAGTAGAAACTCAGCTACTGAATGCAGCACAAAATTTCAGTTTCACAAGTTAGGAATATTCCACTTTTATGTAGGGGTGGGGTATGATACACCCCACGCGCTTTCTCACGGGTTCATAATGGTCATCCATAAGCAACCATGGTTCTAAAGAACAGGTATTTTGTCTCACAGGTATGGGATATTTACAGCAAAAAGGAAATGAAATTGCTAGGCACATGTAATATAATACTGACATCAGCTATTTCATTTTACTGTGTCTTTTAGAATGTGCCATCAAAACCGCTGATTTCTGTGTTTCAAACTTAGCAGTGAGCTTGAGTGCTTTCTATGGATAAGAGCCAATTTGTGATTCTAGGTAGCTAATCATTTGAGTAGAGTAAGGAACATACAATTCAACTCTCCAATATAGTCGAAGATACGTGTTTGGAAGTGATGGAGTTGTTGTTTAAGTAAGCAAAATACTTGGTGATTTATACAGAGTTTCACATTTTCAAGGAGGTTCGGTCATTGGTGATCTGTGATCATGGTTCCCCCCCCCCCAGAATGCTGTAGGCAGCACTGTATCTTATCCTATATGGTTGTTACCAAGCTGCTGGCGAATAGAGATATTTGCAGCAGGGATGGGCCCACATAGTTCCTGAATCCCATTGAACGAACATGGAATGTTCTCAGTTTGATGTCTAGCTGCATATTGCCGGACCTAAATCCTATTGAACGAACATTGAATGTTTTCAGGTTGATGTCTAGCTGCATATTGCCTGAAACTGAAACTTCCAAAGCTGGGATCATTGCTTCAGAAAAAAGGGGGCATTGTTCTTGAAGAGCTCATGAATGACTTCATACTTTGTATGAACAGTTAGTATGCATCCTACATCACTGTCAGAGTGATCTTACTAAATTTTTCTTGTCTGTGACCTGTTATAGAGACATTTTTGTCTTCTATCCTGGTATGTTTGAAACCCAGTTTTATATCACAGTTTTGTACCAATTTGAAACAATGTGGATTATGTTATACACAAAAAACCTGTCCCATGTGTATTTTTTGTATATTTTTATATTACACTGTGTCTCAATTTAATGATTTTTTAAGATTTTATTTTCGATGTTATTGAGTAATATATTTATTATAAGAGAATGGAAACCAAGTAACAAAAATATTACATGAATATTTCTTTTTTTATAGACACTCCAGAAGAAGTTTTTGAAGTTTTATATGAAATGGGATATGAGGAATTTCGACAAGGTCAAGAAACTGCAGTTATGCGAGTTCTTAGTGGTAATTTACAAAATTATCTTAATTTTTTATGAAAATTGCAACCTGAAGATAAATTGGTATTAATTTCAATTTAAAATAATAGGATATTAAATGCATTTCGTTTAACAAAATGTACTGCTTCATTAAACTGAAACCGAGTTTCCTGATGAAGTTGGATCTATGCTTCTGTCCATAAAATACATTATCTTTTTTGTGTATATTTGGTGTAATCAATCAAATCAAGTTAACCCTTAAGTGCATGTAGTTGCCATTTGGCAACTCAAAACATGGGCATAATTTGTGTTTACGAATTTTTGATTTTGTGTTTGTTGTTATTTTCGATGTATTCAAAGTTTTAGAATTGTTTGAACAAGTTTATAAGGTATGTATTATTATATAAAATTATTATACATTTGCCTGTCATATTTTTTTGTAAAAGTTAATAATATATTTTCAAAAATTGAAATAAAAACTTAGTTTAGATTATTTTTTACTATTTTTTTCTGATTTTCTTATTTGACGAGCAATTCTTGGGGTCAGATGCGCAGTCATCTTTTGACTTGTTGATAATGAAATGTTTTAACTAAATAAAAGTCACGAAAATTATAAATTTGGAGTCCAAAAATTTTAAAGTTTTTTTAAAGTTTTTAAATTCCAAAATTTTCAATTTGGCACAGATGTTTTAAGAAATTTCGACAATTTCCAAAGCTGTCGAAATCTAGAGTAAATGCTTTATCTTCTATAATAAAATTTGTTTACTATACTTTGATAGCCCTCGTATATACCATTTTTATTATAAATGTATGATAATCTGTTGATCTCAAACATAATTTTTTGCATTTATTATGAACTTTATGTCTCTGTGATTATGTAAATAATTAATAATGAGTGCATTTATGTTTTGTGTTTCATGTATCTTTCTTCCTTCAGGTTTATCAACTTTGGTAGTGTTGCCAACAGGTTCAGGAAAATCATTATGTTACCAATTGCCTGCATATATGTATGCTAAACATTACAAGTGTCTGTCTCTCGTTATCTCACCCTTAGTTTCTCTCATGGAAGATCAGGTATGAAAACAAAGATATAAAAAAAAAAACTTTTTTTACATAAATATATTGTTGCGCTTTTCTTCCTTTACGTTCGTATGGGGTTCGTGCGGATTTGGAGTGAATAATGACTCGATGAAGTATCGAAACACAGTTTATTAACCAGTATTATTCAAAGCAGCTCCAATAACACATTTACAATCATCAAAAACCTACTATAAACATGCTGAAATGATCAGTGACACAGCCTTCAGGTTATCAGGCTAAAACGGTGGAGAGAGCTTCACGGCAAAGCACCAGAGTACAGTTCCCGACTCTGCTCGGTCATTCTCGGAACTCCATGTACTCTCGATGCTACAACTCACTATGCACTCCACAATGCACTAGAGTACAGCTCCCAACTCCTCGGTTCATTTGTTCCCAGAACTTAACACACTCTAAGATCAAACTCGATGATGCACTAACTCGTGATACAGTAAGAGACTCTTTTGGTGAACTCACTGACTAACTGACTCTCCACATACCAGCAGGGTTTATATAGCTTTTGGCTTGTGTTAGAGAACATTCTGTGCTAAACCAGTAAGAATTCGTTCTAGAAGGTTCTCCATCCGTCTATGGCATATCGCCAGTTTTGTTGCCAAATGTGGCAACCCCACCTTCCCTTGCCATTTCCTGGCAATCCTAAACCTGCTTTGTGGAGAAGCTATCTTACCGCCCCGGACATTTTGAAACAATAGAATAATTGAACATTCAGAAACTTTCCAAATTCCACATTTTCCTTTGTACTGTTTTAAAAATAACTTCCATAATGATAAAATTTCATTGATTGTATCATGCACTTATGTAGACTTCTGTGAAAGTTTGTGAGTATTTCCTTTTGGAGAGTTTTCAATAAAATTATACAGTAGTACCTCAGTATACATACTTTAAAATATGTCCAACTTGGTTATACATCCTGTTTGGAATACAACTGAAATTCAATTAATCACTACCTCTTTTGAAACAATGATATGGCTGTCATGAGTATCAATATGTTTGTTACTACTTTTCCAGGGTTCGTAGCGGTCCTTATAAGTGCTTATAAGTCCTTATATTTGAAAATAAAATATAAAGGCCCTTATAGGTGCTTACTTTTTCTTTAAAGCCAAAAAAGCTTTTTGTTTTTAGTGCTTATTTTTTTGCTTTTAGTGCTTTTTTTTTAAATGAACGCACAATTTTTCCCCGTACCAAAGCCGAAACTAAATAAACTTTTTTTCCTAATATGGAATGTCAAATGGAGAATCATACTCTTGGAAATAGCTTTTCCCCCTTTCTCTGCATTAACATAACCTTTGGTCTGCGCGGAGAGTACAGACAGGTGCCCGTTGTTCTGTTGGTCAAAGAATTGCAAAAGCAGTAGAAAATTCCGGTACATTTGGCATTCTTTTCCTCCCACCCAAATACTACACACATTTGAATTTCTATCAAGATCTTAATAATAGGCATTCTCGTTCCGCTTGGTCAGTTCATATTCGTGTTTATTATGATCGCTATGCTTATATTATGAGCATATGTATGAATGTTTATAATAACATAGTTGCAGTAACTGCTGAAGTATAGTAAAACTTCCAAAAATGGTTGTGTTTTAACACAGATTAGCTTTCTAATTAATAATATTCGGAATGGCTTAAATAAAGGGAAAGTAATCGAATAGTCAAAATAATTTCATTTTTTTTGGCCAATACATTATACGGTATGAAGGTTGAAAGGTTCTCCCCTTTCTCTGCAAAATCTCGAATATTGAAACTGTTACAGTTCACTGCAAAACAAGCAACGGACTTTTTTTTTTTTTTCCTCTTTGTCATTTTCCAATCTGGATTGAATAGGACTAAAAGTTCTGCTAAAAGGTCTTAAATATGACTAAAAGTTCTATTGAATAGGACTAAAATTCCTGCGTCTGACCTAAAAGTTCTTGGTTTACCAACACAAGAGAAGAATGATTCTATTCCGGAAATTTAATGCAGTCTGTTGAAAATTAGAATGAAAAACACCCCGGATTGCTAAGTCTCTTTCTTTTCCTTTATTTAGTTCTTTATTCTCCTAATACCGGCAGTTGTTGAATCCGATTGCGTAATATCATGTAGGGAAGAATTGCGGCGCACTTATTGCGCAATAACGTTTGCGATATTTTGCAGAGATAATTAATTTTGATGTTCGGTCCGAGATTTGTTTATGAATGCTTAAAAGAGTTTTACTGTGCTTGCTAAGCAGAATATTTTTCTGTTCCGTTGGTTTGTTTTTATATGATGCACATACCGAAATGTCAAAAGTATTTATTTAGCGGAAAAATCTAAAGCACAACTACAGTCTATCCCCCTTCCGCTCCTCTTTTTCAAGTTATGCTCGACTGTCTGAATATTCGCCAATTTTTAAGTATGCGGGTAGTTAAAGTTTTACTGTTAAAGGATGACTGCATGAAGCACATTTCTGTCTTCTGATTTCAGAAATGTTCCTCTTTTTTACTTAAATTACTTTGCTTGCAATATCTGTTAAGAGAAAACTGATATACAATGAAAATTTAGAAAATGTTCAGAATTTAGATTTAAATTAGTTAAATATCGATATAAGTGGAAAAATAAATTGTATTTATTATTAAGTTCCAAGCAATAGAATAAATATGCCTTATTATTATTTATTTCCTCTATTTTGAACTGAAATTTCACCATTAAATCTTGTAATGTAGTTTAGTTCTGCATAGTTTTTCTTTCTCTCATTGTAAACTAGTTCTGTAAATTGAACTGTTATTTAAAATTTTAAAAAAAAGTAATTATTTTCCATGGTTGAGGTAATGCTTATTCTCTCTTAATAAAATACTGCATTTCTCATATTTTAAATTACGAGTCTAATTTTTAAGGTTATGCAGTTGTGTATAATGTAATTAGACAGGTGCTTATTTTTTTCTTAAAATGTGCTTGAAAAGTGCTTATAGGTGCTTATTTTTTTAACTAAAATGTGGCTATGAACCCTGTTTTCAGTACATAGCTTGTGCTACAACTTTGAATTTTCTGTGATTTTGCATTTTATGCGAAAAGAATTAAATTTTAAAAACATTTTCAATCCATTACGCTCATATATGTGAGCCATCTTATATGCAAATCTTTTATCCTTGTACAATATATTTAAGGATGCTGGGTTGAAATATATTTAGACAAATGTGGTAAATAAAATTTGAAATTTTAATTATACACTCAAACTTTCTATTTGCTCTTGATGTTTTTTATAAATTTTCGAAAATTTATTCATATTAAGTTAGTTGTGTTAACTGAATCTTCAAAGTAAAAAATATTACATTTAATAACTCAAAAAAGCAAAAATAGATCAATAATGCAGTATTAATTATGCAAATTAATGTACTAAATGGTGTAAAAATTCTATCTTAAGCAAGGGTGTTAATTTTTAAAATAGCTTTACTGTATTTTATGTGTCATTACAGAATATTAATGATTTGGGTTTTTGTTTAAAAGTATTTTTGAGAATGCAGTTTGATTCTAAGAACTGACAATACAGTCTGATTCTATATCATATTCAAAGTTTGACTAGTTTAGCGATGCCACTGAATATGTACTGTCCCTTTTAGACAGATTTACAAACTAATTGTGGGTAAAATAATCTCAAGGTAACAGACTTGACATGAAGCGGAAGATAAATTATTTTTATTGATTTGCTCAAGAGAAAAACTTCTGTAATTAATTTCTATCATGAGTGTAACACACTAATAGTTCTTATTTGAAATAATTAATCTTCTTTATTTTAAAAAATAAATTAGGTCACAAAACAAAGAAATTGGATAAGATAAAAAATGAAAGGGACAAGCATTTTTGCCTACAATCACACATTTTAAGATTTATATATAAAAAATTTCAATTTTTTGTTTATATTTTGAATTGTAGAAATATATTTATAGTCATCTTTATGCAATGCATTTCTCAAATTAAACTTTAAACATAATTTATCTTGAATTTTCTTTCTTTTCTTCTGGGACAGCATATCTAAGCAAAATTTGAAAAATTGTAAGCTGTGAAAAAATGCATACAAGAAGAGATCAAAATTTTGTTGTAGCTATTTTGCTATTAGTATTCTTATTATCTATAATCTGCTTGTAAAACAGAGTGGGGAAAATCTAATGTACAGTTTTAACTGTAAATTAATAGATTCTTTTAGCTAAAAGAAATTTTTATAATGTGTTTAGTTCATTCTCCCAAAAAAGAAAAATAAATAAATCAGCACTTTTCATTTGTTTTACAATTTATTTATTTGATTTTTTATATTTATATAAATTGTTTTTATTTATTTATATAAAATTGCTTTTTATTTATTTACTGTTCCAGGTTGCAGGATTACCACAATGTTTACATGCAGTGTGTATTCACAGTGGGATGTCAGAAACTCAGAAAGCTAAATCTATGCAGGATATAAAAGATGGCCTGGCTCATATATTGTTAATATCACCTGAAGCAGTTCTAAGTAGTTTTCAACATTCAGGATCATTTTTATCTTCAAATTTGCCACCAATTTCATTTGCCTGTATAGATGAAGTCCACTGTTTATCACAATGGTCTCATAATTTTAGACCATCTTATTTGCAACTTTATAAGGTAATAAATGAACCAATAATAAATAATTAAGTGTGGAGCATGGGACAGGTATTTAAACGGTATTTTCCCTAAAAATAGGTATGCACAAAACAGGGCTGCCACACTACTTGGAAAAACGGGAAAAGTCGGAGAATTTGAAAATTGGCCAAAAAAGTCAGAGAATTAAAATATTTTAGTCAAAATATGGTAAAGTCAGAGAATTTCATATGGTTGTTCCCCCTTCCCCAAAAAAGCGATTTTTTGCGCCAACATTGGAAGCAATCACTTTCATTGCATGAGGTGCAGCAATTTTTGCAGCTCCAATCAGATTCTTGGCAAATTCTTGGAAACTTTGGTTTCCAGTAACCTCGAAAATTGAAAAACTCACATGCACCTGTGCTGTGCATGTTGAACAAAAGAAAATAGCTTCCCATTCACGTATAAAACAAAATTGGGTTAAATCTAGTATATGGTACACACAGGATTTGGCCATATTATGATAAGCAGTAAATGGGTCATTTTAGTGCTGGCGACAATTTTCAAAATTGTGCCAAAGCTGTACTATATACTAGGATTTTACTACAAAATCTTTTAAACCTTTATATATACCTATACCTTATTTGTCATTTTGCAGTAATATAAAAAATAGTAATCAGTCATTTAGGCTATATATCTATCGCCAAAATATCGTTGATTGTTGTAATTCAATTTTTTTATCTCTAAGTAATTTATTTTAATGTTATTCAAATAATTTAGTGTGACTTCTTCCTACTAAATGTATTTACTTTTACTTAATAATATTTTCAAATTTCAGACAACTTTCTCTGGCATGCTCCTGAAACTAATTCTAGCAGTGTGATGACATACCATCACGAAATTATAATGCACATATTTTTTGCTTATGTATGCTGCTAAATAAATGTAAAGTAGCGGAATTTATTTAAAAATATCATTGAATAGATTTCTTTTTATCGTTTAGTTGCAAAATATCTGCACATTTTTTTAATCCAGATTAGACAGATTCTAATCTCAATCTTCAGTGAGGGGAAACAACTCCTGTTATAGTTATAATAGTAATCCTTTGGGGATTATATATATAAATCATATGTAATGGTTAATTTTTGTATTTTCAAGTGTCATCATAATTAATTTACCTCTCAGCACAGCCAATGCACACTGCATGGATAGACTGGAATTTTCTTAAAACACACCTGGAAAAGTCAGGGAATTTCATTCTTCTGTTTGAGTGGCAACCCTGACAAAACATGGAAGAATTATTTAAGTTAAACAAAATCCAGCATTAGACTGACATTGATTTCAGAGAAAAGCTCTTTCTAATATTAGAAAATCCCTAAAAAGAAATCATCCATCACAACAAAAAAAAGATTGTTTAAAAAATTACCTTTATTTTTTTTTATACTCTGAAATATATTCTATTTATGAATGCATAAAATGTGTAACTTAATCTTTATCATTGTTTTGATGCATATCTTATTTCAAATCAAAATTTTATTTTAAAGTCTTTCTGTATCTTCTCTTAGCAGCTAAATCTTTCATATGTTATAAATGCTACAAACACATCAAGAAGCTAAATGTTAGAGAAATTAATAGTAAACAAAAGTAATCATCATAAGATGAGTAAATCTGCTGTGTTATAATTATAAAAGTTAACAAAACTCTCTTCTTCAACTGCAGGAATGAAATTTAAAAAAAGAAAAAAAATCTAAAAGCCATATCTTTAGAATTCCCCATACACAGTATCACGTGCAGGTGATAAGATAAAAAACATCACCAGTATTAGTGATGTTTTTTCATACAGTGTTGCCACTGCTCGCTTTAAAATAAACCAAACATGAAATAGATAATAAAACAAATTCAAAATTCTCGCTTCCAAGTGCCCATGTTCGGTCGGAGGACTACATTATTCAAGAATGGATGGCTCTAGGTATCATTGTTTTTGTATTTAGTTTCTTTAAATATAATACATGGTGATAATATTTGATGCCAACAGTTTAAAAAGTGAAACGATGTGAAATGCCATTTTGAGACTAATAGCCCTTTGGGCTAAAAAATGAAATGTGCCTGTAAAAGAACCACAGAAAAAATACAAACTAGCTAATGATAAAAAATGAAATTCCCAGATCCATTCTTCTGAGCTAAAAAAAAAGAACAAAAAATAGCTGAAAACAAATTATTGAAGGACTAACAATAAAAAAGGATTAGAGTTTGGATCATTAATCATAACAAAGATTTTTTATGCTTGGGAAGTAAAGATCGAGTTATAAGTTTTATCTATAGTAGGGAAAAAAATTACATAAAAGTTTAACGTATAGAATACAAAAAATTCAGTTTATTCCTTTTAATCACAGAATTTATTCCAGTTATTTAGTTCTTTATGTCTGGCAAAATTTTATGTGATTAAACACTTTACAAATATTAAATTTTCTAATGCATTCTAAGAAGCATGCAGTGCTTCTAATTTTATATTATTCAGCATTTCATTCGCTAGAGATGGGTGAGTTATTTATGAAATACTGATCATGAGAGCATCAGATTTTTATTACTTTACTCATGTGCATAAATGTGCTTTACATATTGTGTTTACTTTTTAGCCTTAAGGAGCATTAGCTCACAAGGGCTATTAATTTCGTTTTGGCATTTTGCATTTATTCACTTTTCAAACTGTTGCCATCAAGTATTTGAAATTTTTGAAGTATTATATTTGAAAAAATTAAATAATGAAGAATCTGCATAAATGTATGTATGTTTCTTGCATTGTGATAAAACAACGGTACCTAGAGCCATCCAATTTTGAATAACGTAATCTTCCACCAAATATGGGCATCTAGGAGCCCTAACTTCGAATTTGAAATTTGTTTTATTATTGATTTCATATTTTGTAACACTGTACAGAAAGAAAAAAAAAAACTTTTATCTCTAGCACGCGAGATTGTGTATCGGAAATTCGAAATATATGCTCATTTTAGAATTATTTTGCTATATTGCTGTTGAATTAAATTTTATGGTTTAAGTGCAAAGAACATGATATTTAATAAATAAAGGTAACACAGAAAATGTTTAAAAAATGACCTTTTGGGCGTAATCTGGATCAGAAAAATATATAAATAAAAAATTGAAAAAAAAGCTTTCAGATTTTTTTCAATTTTTTATTTATATATTTTTCTGCTACAGATACATTTTGAATGTATCAGTTCAAAAATAGCATATAGTATTTAATTTACAAACCCTTATTTTAATTGTTGGTAGTTTTGATATGTAGTACATCTGAGGCATTAATATTTTTCTTTCTCATAGGTTTTAACTCAAAACATCGGAGTTAAATGCATCTTGGGTTTGACTGCCACTGCTACTCATTCTGCTATTGAGGACATAATTTCTCAATTAGATCTAAAATGTGCTGATGATTCAGTTGTTGGATATAGCAATGTTCCTTTTAATCTTCATTTATCTGTTTCTAGGGATAAAGATAAAGATAAGGTACGTTTTCAAATTTAGTATTAAAAAAAAGAAATAATGATCATGTGCTAAGAGTGAAAATTGTCAAAATTTGTTTATATGTATGGAAAATCATATTTTCACTTTATATATATTTTATTTCAGACAAAAGCATCATATTACAAGATACAAAAACAAAATATTTTTTACATATGAAAGAACCAGAACCACTGTTGCCATTCACATAGAAATACTTCTGTTGCCACTCATTTGTAATTGCAGAAATAAAAATCACTCCTTGCAAAAATTTAATACATTCATAATATGCGAAGATCTTTCTCTAGCTTAACTTTGTTTTCTTCATATTTATTTATTCAGAGGATTGCCTTTCTTCTATTTCAATGAAAGAAAAATATTGCATATATTTTTGGGGGAAAAAAAGTTATATTTTAATGAGATAAGGTACTAATTAATATGTAACTTTATCCTATAAGTAAATTTAATACATAAATTTAGTGAGATGATTTTTAAAATGCTTTTTGTAATGGTGTGTAATCCTTACCGAAAGAAATTATGCATAGTTACAGAAGTGGTTGTGAAGATAATTCTGTTTTCGCAAAGTGTAAAAAACAAGGCCCCTACATCAGTGTGAAACTGTACGAAGAAGAGCAAACTATTTAAATGTCAGCTCTTAACAAAGATCTAGCAACAGAAAATGATTTCATATTTTTGATGAGATTTACAAAGGATAACCTTTAGAAAAGTTGCTCCCATTAAATGCTATTTTTATCAAACTATGTTGTTATCAACTTGCTGGAAAAATTCATTGAGATATGCTTGCAATTACTGTGCACACTTGCAGACTTGTTTGCAATTTCTGAAGGCACCGCAGCTGTTTTGTAGGTCTTGGAAAGGGAAATTTGTTTTGAGTTCCATGTAGCATTGCAACTGTATTCTGCATTGGCACATATGCATTCTTGACAAACTATATGCAGAAGTATTTATCAAAAGCAATTTTGGTACTTCTTTGTTATAATGGCCCCCAACCGTATTTGGCGATTTCAGATTTGCGCCAAGATCTTCGGTATAATTTTGCCTGGCTTGTGAAGTACAAGTAAAAATAAACAACACAATATATAATAATAACAGTAATACTTACATGCCATTTCCGAACAATATTTTAAAGAATCCTTATTAAGTAGGCTATTCAAAAAGTAACTTACATTTTAGAATTAAAAAAAGAAAAATGAAAGTAAAATTTTTTATTACATATATTTGAAAGACATATTATTCAGCTATTTTTCTACATAATCTCCATATAAATTAAGACTCTTATCATAATGGTACACGAGCTTGTTAATAGCATCGTCATAGAAAGTTGCCGCCTGAGACTTCAATCATGCACGGATGCCTGTGACGATGCATGTTCCCCCTCATCGTTGACGTGCTGTGTTGCAAGCCAGGCACACACAAATCACGAACTTTATCCAAGTCTTGTCTCCTGTTACGAGATGATCCAGAAGTGATTCACTGTTCGTGGTATGCCCTGAGAAAAGTTGCTGCCATGTGCTGCTTTTAGTGGTCTTCTGACAAGTACCCATCTGGCACAAAATTTGTGATAGCTTAGATCTTGCATCACAACATCAAACAAAAAAGTTCGTGAAATTTGAGGATACTCCGAAATTGTGAAGTGGTGGATTTCGGGAATCTTTTCATCGATTTTTTTCTGGGAGTTCAGCATTAACAATGCTCGGTGGCCACTTCGCGCCCACTGGGAATAAAAGGTTTTTTTCTGTACAACGTTGCCATTACTCACTTTGAAATCCTCAAGTTTGTTAATCAAAAACAAAGTTTTACAAAATATGAAATCGATAATAAAACAAATTTCAAATTATGGCTTCCAGATGCCCATATTCGGTAAAGGATTACGTCATTCAAGATTGGATGGATGTAGGTACCGTTGTTTTATCACAATGGGAGAAGCATACATACATTTATGCAGATTCTTCATTATTTAACTTATTCAAATATAAGACAGGGCAATAATATTTGGTGGCAACAGTCTGAAAAAGTGATACAGCTTTTTAAAGATTTCAACACAAAACGCAAAACGAAAACAATAGTCCCTCAAGGACAAAAAGCCCCTTTGGACTAAATTACAACTATAATTTTGATGAACATAACAAGTTAATTTAAGATTTTAGTATAATATAGGTAGTTTGACACAAAATCAGCCTTTTTCTGAAATAATGTCAATTTTTTCCATATTTCGATTCTACAACTCAAATTATGCCAAACTGCCAAGTTTTGTAAAAATCACATGAGTAGTTTTTAAAAAATTAGCTCCTCAATGTTAAGTGAATTTGACATATATTTAGTACTATCTCTTTTTTTATTCAATTAATTTAATTCTTACTTTCATATTTTGAAATTTAGGCTTCACTCCAAAATAAAATTTGTCCATTTTTATTACTTTTTTTTAATTTGTATTTTTAAATAATTTTTATAAATTTTTTGAAAAAAATTTGAATTATAACCTATAAAATTTTTATCATCAACTTAAAGTAAACATTTTTCTGAGCATATCTGCAAAAAATAAGAGTTTTTATTCAAAATTTCCTAAGATATACGTGAATTTACATATTGGTGCATTTTGAAATTTGACATATTTGTTATAAGCAATAATAATGCCAAATGTGGTTGACGTATTTTGTCAAAATTATTTGAAAGTATGAATGATAACTTTTTTTCCGCTTATCTACAATGAAAATAAGGAAAGGAAAATAGATTGCTGAGAATTAAGAAATTTGCCAAGCAAATTATTCTTGGCGCAAAGTGAAAAAAAATGGATCAAGATAAATTTTTGAATTTCTTCATAAATTTCACGCAAAATTTTACAAAATTGAATATTTAGGCATAATTTGAGCCGTAGAACCAAAATATGAAAAAAAATTGCCATGTCATTTCAGAAAAAGTCCTATTTTGTGTCAAAATACCTACATTAGAACAATGCTATATATAAATCTAATACATATCCTTATTCGCACTTTCAAGACATGAAAAGCGCAAGTTGAATTTCGTCAAGCGGCCCAGTAGAATGGGAGATATACAGTCAAAAGTCATTAATTCGGACACCCATAATCCGGAATGATCTATAATCCGGACCTCAAAGCTAAAAACTTTCTGCGCATGTGCGCCGTTTTACGCGTGCACGTAAGACCTTGACTACTGCGTATATGCGTGTGCGCAAGTGCAGAATACGTTTTCGCCTGCGCATTTAATGTATAACGGACAGTGTAAGCTAAAATTATCTAATTATCTATTTCAGTAAATGTTAATGATTGCGTTGTTCCTTAATCTTCGAATTAGATCCTGCTTATTATTTTTTGCAGACTGTAAGAGCAATTTTATAAAAGTAAACTTGAACTTTCGATAATGTCAAATAGAATTTCCGATGCTGGAACTTTCAAAGGATCTACAAAACGAAAGTATGTTTCGATGTCCAACAAACAAAAAGTGGAATTGCTGCAAAAAATGGATAAAGACATGAAGAATGTGACAGAGAGGTTAGTGAAAACGAAAACATTTCGATTGACAAGTTAGTCGGTATTCTCGGCACAGCAATTAACGGGACTTGAACAGCGGGACTTTGTAACTGAACAAGAAATTATGTCTGTTTATAGAATTAAAGAGAAAGTATTATCACATAAAATGAAGCAACTTAAACAACTTACATTGTAAGAAATGTTTAATAAAATAAACAAATAAATATTAAGCTTTTTTTTTTTTTTTTTTTTTTTTTTTGTAAAATTTTGATACCTTTTAGATCATAATTGTTCTTTTTTTCATAAATTACGGTTTCATATTTTTAATTTTAGAATTTCTGCATGCCATCTTACGAGATTTAAACTGATGATCTATAATCCGGAAAAATCGATAATCCAGAATCACCAGTCCCGACGAGTCCGGATTAACGACTTCTGACTATCTGTAGTATCTGCCGACTGTTTGGCGATCAACAGAACGTGCTTGGCGCGTGTAGCCTCTTTTCCAGGAAGGGTTAATGTATTTTATGAGAGTTGCATGTTAGCCTCAGAAGAGGAAGGCAGTAGATTTCGCTATGCTGTAGGAGCGAAGTACTGCTGTGAGTTTACTATTATGCTTTGAATCATATTTTTAATAAATGTTCATTTCGTCTTGTTAAATGGTGCCTTATTGAACCACGAAGCCATTACACTATCATCCCTCCTTTTTTTTTTTTTTTTTTTTTTTTTTTTTTTTTTTCCGCAGTGTGCATCTAAGGATAATCCTGCCAAAAGCACAAAAACTATTGGATATGCTTTGAGTATGAGCCATTTGATTGTAAAAATAAGTTATCATTTGTAGAGAGTGCAGACATTAACCCCTTACTGCTGCAGGCGAATGTATGCACCTTGCTCAGCCGATGCATTAACTGCCCCAGGTGTATGTATATATATGCCCTTCCAAAATACTATCATTTGCTTTGCGCTGCTACCCGTAAAATTATTCGCAAAGCTTTGGAATGCAACACCACAATGACCTTGACAAAGTATGCGAAGGTTGATACTATTTCAGAGAAATGTGGGGAGAAATTGGAGAGAGAGGTGTATCTAAAGCAGTGAAAGTAATGACTGCACGGTATTGGCTGGTGTTTGAGTAAAACATATTTTTTTATTCTGTGTCCTCCGTTTTCGTTTACTTTTTCGTAGGTTCCAGGAATAAAGAAAGATATAATGGATGTTTCAAACCCAATTTATCTTTTTGAATTATTTTTTGATGAACTGCTCTTGCTTCTTATTGTTACTGAAATTAACCGTTTTGTAGATGAGTATATGAACCAACATCTTGCAAACGAAAAATCAAGAATGAGATCGTGGCATTCAACCAGTTCAGAAGAAATATATGTGTTTTTTTAGGCATACTGATTTCACAAGGTATAACATTGAAACCTGATATTGCACTTTACTGGTCTAAAAATGAATTGATTGAAACTCCATTTTAGGGATCTTTTTTATTATCAAAACATTAAATTTTGTGCATTCATTTTTTTCTTTTATTCTTTATTTTGTGAAAGTAAACAATTTTTAGAAATTAAAACTTGCATTTATTTTCCCCCTAATGCATCGCATAACTATGCGTGCCTATGTGAAAAACCGTGGCACTGGGAAATGAATCTTGTATGTTTTCTGCAGCAGTTAAGGGGTTAAAATCAGTTGATTATCTTCTATAACTTAATGTTTTCCACCTGTGGAACAGTCTGCAGCAAATCTTGACTTCCTTTTGTATGCTGTATTCACTGATGGGCTTATGTTTACACATTAGGACTATGTTTAATATACACAATTGTCACCTTCGGTTGCATGATAATCCTCACGGCATAAAATCCCATGCCTACCTAGAAAGATTCTCCATTAATGTAAGATTCAGCATGTTACACTGTTACTTAGTAGGACCATACATTCCTTTTAGTCACTTACAGCTGCATATATAACATGTTTCTACATGCTATATTACCAGAACTCTCTGATGTGTTTTCAGCTGTTTGCACATGAATGTGGCTCCAGCATGATAGGCTCTTACTTCACTTCAGCAGTAGCATCAGAAATTACCTCGATGCTGCCTATTCTTTGGCCACAATTACCAGATCTAACAAGCATGGACTTCTTTTTCTGGAAACGTTGACAGCATGCCTTAAAAAAAGTTCCATTGAGTCTAATGTGAGCCAGACTGCCAGTTGCTGCTGGAAATGTAGGTGGAATGTCTAATGTAAACAATCCATGGATAATGTATGTCAATCCATGGGCATCTACCATGAATTTTTTATTACTGATGATGGTTGTTTTTTTTTAGCACCTATAATAGGAAGCTGAATCATGAAAATGTTCATATCTTTTGTCTTTACCTGTTGTTCATACCTTCTTTATGTGCTAGCTTTTACTCCAGCCATTTCTCTGCACACATTCCATTACAAAATCTGCTTATATGTCTCCTTTATACTTTTGTCAAGAAAGGAACTCTGCCACCTTTCATTATAAACATAATAAAAAAACAATAGACATGAATTTGGAAAAATTATTATAAGTGAAATTATGTTTAATTTTGCTTTATGCTAATGACGTATTGTCTTCTTGTAGGCATTGTTACAACTTCTAAATGGTGATCGCTTTCACAAATGCTCATCTATAATCATTTATTGCATTCGACGTGTCGAAACAGAACGCTTGGCAGCATTAATACGAACTTGTATGCAGGATGACTTGCTTCCTGAAGGAGAACAGGCCATAATGTCAAAAGCAAAGAAAAGTGAGAGTCCATTCACATTTGATTGACTTCAGATAATGTAAACCACATTTATTAACATTTAAACAGGAAATAAAATCTTAATCTTAGATTTATTCAATATATTTTAAAATGTTAGACATTTATTTTATTTTTAAGAGAAAAGATGTTTCCGATGGACAGCAGAAGCATATCATGCTGGGTTACCACCACAAAGAAGACGTTCTATTCAAAAGCAATTTATGTCTGGTAAAAAAATCTCCTTTGAAGTTTTGATATCTTTTCATTTTATGTTCAGGCAGTGCAAAAATGTTTTACAGATGCAAATGCTGATTAGTACTGTTGAAATATTTTTGTGCTATTAAATTAAAAGTGATATTAAAGGAAATAAATCAGATAATTTGAACATATAAATATAACTTGATCAGATTAAATGTATCTTAAAATCTAGCATTTTGTCAGCTTTTAAATCTGGTTCTTTTCTGTTTGATTTTGATGTAAGAAATTTAGTTTGATTGATGAAATAAATCAGATAATTTGAACATACAAATATAACTTGATCAGATTAAACATATCTTAAAATCTAGCATTTTGTCAGCTTTTAAATCTGGTACTTTTCTGTTTGATTTCAATGTAAGAAATTTAGTTTGAGTATGTTTAGCTAATTTACAAACTTTATAGTTTTCTAACATTCTATAATACAGTACAAAGTCCGAAATCCAGACGTCCATTATCCGGAATGATCTAAAATCCAGACCTCAAAACCACCAAGAAAATTTTTCTCTTAGGCTTTACGCATGCGCATTTGATTTCCCCCTCCGTGCATAATAAAACATCTAGAGAGTCCCGATTCTTAATTTCACTTCGACACTAAATAAAATACCTTGTTACTGAAGAAACAATCATTTTAGCATAAATTTGTACAATCAGTAATTTGACTCCATTGCTGCGTATTTGCTTGGCACACATCCTCAAACTGGAAACATTCCACATAGATACATCATTGATCCGATGCCAACCTGGCAAATCATTATTTATTATACTTTTCCTTTCATTACCGCATGTTTATCAAAACATGACAACTTGAGTAATGACTCATCTAGCAATGCCTAAACATTTTTTTTTTTTATGTTAGCATTTGAATAATAAAGGAGTGTGGTAACGTTTTATGTTGACAGTACACTTGGCGATGATTACAGATTTCAGTTAAATGCGCTAAAAAATGTTGATGAGGAAACATTTACCAAAAATTTCTTTCCATATGCTAAAAATAGATTTTGTTGACCCAAAGATTACATTTAGGGCTATTTGAAATAAGAGTAACTGATTTGTTATTCGCATAAACCCAGATCCAGTGCCTGGCCTCGTATGGCCATGCCGAGTTGCAGAATTTAGGACCCACAAAGAATGCATCAGGCAGTAAAATATCTAGTGCCTGCCCTCAATAAAGCTTAAAGTATATGTGGGAATTCATTTATTCAGAATTCAAGCCTTAAGCACATGCAAGAAATAGACATAAGTATAATAAATAACAAAATACAATTCAGGCTTAATTGTCTCAGTATGCGATAGAACCAAGACAAAATTTAACAGAACAACTTGTCGTTAGTCGCCAAGCTCATGATGCATAGCCAAATACGTATAGTGAAGGATAACTAAATTTGATGATGACAGGCATTAATTTTAAAGGTTTTCTAATATCGCAAAACAAAGGTGAAATTTTCCAGTTAACGGATTTTGTAAAGAAATGTGGAGAAGCAGTAATAAAGGAAGATGATATAAAAGAAGTTTTTCATTGTGATGACAGTGCTTCTCAATCATCAATCAATTAACGAATGGAGAAATCTGTAGTATCGTTCTAAATCCAGAAAATACCGCTACCGATAGTGATGAAGGTGACAGAGAATTTACTGAAAATGAGAAAATTTCGATTGACAAGTTAGTCGGAATCCTCGAAACAGCAGTTACAGGACTTCAACAATGTTACTAAACAAGAGATTATCTTCTCTGTCTACAGAATTAAAGAGAAAGTATTAGCACAAAAAACGAAGTAACTTAAAACTTACATTGAAAGAAATGTTTAATAAGGTAAGCAAATAAATATTAAGTTTTTTTTTTTTTTTTTTTTTTTTTTTTTTTTTTTTTTTTTTTTTTTTTTTTTTTTTTTTTTTTAATATTGATACTCTTTAGATCATAAATACTTCATTATTTCATATATTTAATTTTATAATTTCTACATGCCATCTTACTTAATTTAAACTGATGATCTATTTTCCGGAAAAATCCCAAATCCAGAATCGCTGAAGTCCCAATGAGTCCAGATTTCGGACTTTGTACTGTATATAGGGTGAAGCTGAACAAGAGGACAAAACTTTAGGGGGTAATAGAAGGCAACTTTATGAGCAATATTCATCATAGAATGTATGCTCAGAAAGCAAGTGGTGAGACAGGGTAGTTTTCCACTGTCATATTTAAAGAGTTAACACAAGAAGGTGAGAAGATACTTCAGAAAACATTTTATTTGCAGAACATGCTCACAGAACTTGCTCAAAAGACCTTCCACCAGCTGTAATGTAGGCTTCACAACTGCGGGATAGGGTATTGACGCACATTTGTGAAGACACCAGGCATTTCCCGAATATTGCCAGCAACAATGGCGATTCTAGTGACTAGATCCATATTGCTTTCAATGGGGCACTCGTAGATTAGGCTTTTCATATGGTCCAACAGGAAAAGTCCAAACATAACAGATCCAGTGATCTTGGTGGCCAAGCTATGGGATCACCTAGACCAGTGTTTCTCAACCACTGGCCCGCAAGAAATATTTGCCGGTCCGTGAAATATTCAGCTATCTGCTCAAAACCTAAAGTGTCATCGGCCGACAACCGATATTACAACAGCACTTGCATTACTATAACGATAGTTTACTATTAACTTAGAAGCCAAACAACAAAAATCAGCATTATATTTTCAAATTTTCACAGGACTAGTTTCGATGGTTTTACCGAACCATCATCCTGAGCTGCAAAAGCACAAATGAACGAAGCGAGATATAATTAGATAAGACAAGATAAGAAAGCCTGAACAAGGCTCCTTTTTTTTTTTTTTTTTTTTTTTTTTTTCCAAGTTAATATTTGTTCAGCTTAATAATAATTTATTAGTTTAGATAATAATGTGATCAATGATGAAAAATATAACAAACTGTCAGCTGTGTACCTAATCGCCTTTCATAAATTGCCATGCCGTAACACTTAGTACACTAGTTAGTGTGCCCCTGTCTGCCTTGAGTATTGCTGATTACTTGAACGCTGAATATCTGTTGTAGTGTTTAAGGCGTCTTAGGTTAGGTTTTGCTTTTTATCTTGCTTACATTCTTCTGCACACTTGGACAACTGAAAACTATACATCAGCGTAAGTTTTTAATAACCACTGAATTTAATACTGTGCTATAACTACTATTTCTTTAATTTTAGGTGGATTAAAAATCAATAACCAGGATGAGTAAGAAGGCACATATATTTAAATATGATTGTGGGAAAATGATAATAAGAATATTACAATTAACTTATGTAGTAATTCTTGAATACCTTGTAAAGTTTTGGGGGGAAGGAAGGTGGGGGAAAAACCACCAGTCCGCAATATTTTTTCGTAAGTTTTACCGGTTCGCGGACCAAAAAAGTTTGAGAAGCACTGACCTAAACCAATCCATCACCCTGGAAATTTTGTGGCTTCTATAACCAGCAATCTTCTTGGCAATCCACAGTAAAAAATGCCATTAGGAGAGAGGGCCGATCCTTTTTATACCATTTATTTACAATGCCACTAGTGGCTCACCGTTTGAGTTCCGACCATACATTCTATGACAAATATTGCTCATATATTTGCCTTCTATCAGTCCCTAAATCTTTGCCCTCTGGTTCAGATTCACCCTGTACAATATTCTATAATATACATAATATTCTATCTAATATTCTATAATATCTAATACACTTTATAGTTATCTAATATTTCAAGGTGTAAAGCACTAACAGTTTTGCCTTGAGCTTGATTCCCAGCTGTGTAACAAGCTAGCTGCATGATCAGTGGCGTAGCTAGGGTGGGGCAAGGGGGGACATCTGTTCCCGGGCACAGCATCCAAGGGGCACCAAATTGATGCTACGAAATTTTTTAATGAAATGTTTTCCATTCTTGGCACACAGAAAGGGACGCAAATTCTTCAATTGTCCAAGGGCGCTGGAAACTCTAGCTATGCCCCCATGCATGATGTGTCCATAGTTTTCTGCAAATGCAACTTTGTAACAGATAAACAAAATAAGGACATTTATTTAACCCTTTGCTGCTCAGTGTTCCACTACATGGAACACCTAAATTGAATCGCTTCTGAAACCTTTAAATTCAACCATAAATAGATAAAAATGCCTTTATAATATACTTTGAACTTTTCTTTTTAAACAGTAAATAGCAGCATATCACAAAGAGACACAGAATTTTCATTTATTATGTGTTATTAAAATCCACTTTTTTTCAAGTAATTTTTTCTATTTTTTTAATGATATAAAAAATTTTATTTGGAAAAACATTTAGGCATAATTTTGCTGGCTGTACTCCAAATTATCTGTTCTATATTTTTTTAATCTCTCAGACAAAAACCATACGCAGAATCATTGAATAAACCTGGGTGTTCCATTAGCGGGAACACTGTGCCATTAGCGATCTCATGCTGTTACGAATCAGAACATCTGTGCTTAAGAGAGAACATCCATTGTTTACGTTTTCTGTTTCTGTTGCTTTTGGGGTAATAAATTCAAACAAAGCAGTATTGAGAGGTGAGGTGTGTTTTGTGTTATGAAAGCCCTAATATTGGCATCTCGAATTTTTTGGGAGTAGTTTTTAGGCACGAATTTTATCAGTAGCTTGACACATCTAGACCTGCGCGAATTTTTTGCTGCCGCGTTTTAGTCTCATTCCCATTTATTTTCAATAATTGTGTAGATATTTTTCGTGTATGTATATATTATAGGCTTGTTTTTCTTTATTGTTAATATTAATCGTAGTTAATTTTTTTATTATTAATTTTCCATAAATGGCGCAGAGAGGTCTAACTCTTTCTGACGCGCTCTATCCAAAAATTTTTAAATATTTTTGTATATAGGACTTGTGTATATAGATATTTATCTCATTTATCCATATATATTCAAGAATACTGTGTATATTCAGGAAACTATGTATACAGCCATAATACAGAGTTT